ATTTCCTTGGGTTGGCCTGGGATGTACTTCCGGAGCACTTCTGGGACAATTATACCCTTTATAGCCGAGTGAAGATATGTCAGTCACAAATTATACGCAATTTTATGACACGTTTTATGTGGGGTCAACCAGTAAATCGGGGTTTTTGCTATTCAGGGAGGGAGGCTCACTGTTTCAGTCTGGTAGTTTTCCAAGATACAACAAAGCGTGCGCTCTGTAGCACACAGTGTAGCGTTCAACGCGTGCACGTAGATCTTCTTATTCTCGTCAGCGCCGGATTCCTTCTCATCCGCAAGATCCTTCTTCTGTCTGTATCGTATTTCCAGTGCCCGTGTCTGGTAGTCTGTACAGTTCGAGCAAGAAACCAGCTCCTTGTATTTGCCCTGGGACGGGAACCATGCTTCTAAGTCATTCTTTCTCGATGCGGCATTATTCAGCGCCCCGGAGACAATGTCGACAACTCGATATGGGAGCCCGAGGGATTGGTAGAATTCTTCTGAATTCTTCATCATATCTTTAAATGCATCCCAGGAGTCCTCGGGTTTTGTCATCACAAATTGTTCTATCTATAATTAACAGCCATGTTAGATATGTGTCGGCGCAACTTCCCTCTCCAAGAAAAATTAACCGAAAACCTACTTTTTCAAATTGGTGCACACGGAAAATCCCCATTACCTCCCTGGCCATGAGAGCCAGCCTCTTTTCTATAACAAGTGCTGTATCCGGCGTATTTGATCGGTAGATCACTATCCTGAAGCCACTCCCCGCTATGTAAAGCAGACAAGGGCTGCTCAGAAGTTGCAATCAAATATCTTTCCGATGCTTTATCCTCGTTTTCAGTAACCTTATAAAGCTCTTCATCAAACTGCTCAAGCTGGGCAGTCTTCGCCATAAACTTCTTCAGCATGAAATAAGGGGGCTGGTTGAGTGTGTATTTCTTTCTGAACAGAAACTCTAGTCCGTAGTTCACCAGAGCAAGGTTTAGGAGCAGGCCATAGTTGACAAGACAGTATCCCCGGTGTCCAAAGATTTTAGTGCCTCGTTTCTGGTCAAAACCATCCAACCGGTGAAGCACATCGTCATGTGAGAGGCAGTAGGCGGGTTTTTCTTCCTTGAACCATTCTGGCGCCCATGTCGAGAGAATAGCGTTATCCGCCTAAATAGATCGTGAATTTAGTTATTTGGTTGGCGATTGATTTCCAGGAAACCGGGAGTAGAATACAAAGGAGTCACCAACCTCATCTTGACTCGTAGGGACGTCTTCGTGGACGTAATTGCCAATCGATGCAAGTTTCTGGTCTCTCAACAACTCCTTCTCTGTGGCCGCTGCATCGGCGTCTTTCTTTTGCTTCTCCAGCTCCGTCTTCTCCGCGATCAGATCAGCCGCATCTTCTTTGTTCTAGATTCAATGCCCAAAACGGATCTATTAGTCGCAGCTGATGATATAAATATGGGGTGTATATATGGACACCGTTGTGCAAAGCCCGTACGAAGAAAGGATGAGTGAACCTTTTTCTTCTTCCCAATTTCCTTCTGGACCTTATTGATCTTCTCGCCTATCTGGGTAACGTCATAGCGTGCTGTTTTTTTACAAAAGAAAAAAGAAGAAAAGAAGAAAGAAAAACAAATCAGCGGACATACAACGAAGCTTTGTGATTTTCAGTGTGGAAAATGTAAAATGCGAAAGGGAATTTGGTTTGCTAGATCACTGCGGAGGCCAGCAACATACCTTCACGGGCGAGCTTGAACAAGGCAATGACCTCGTCTATGGCTTCCACTGGTGCGCCGCGACGCCGTTGGTTCTCCTTTAATCTCTCTTGGTTTTCCGTGATTTTCTCTGGAGTGGCTCCATGGACAAAGTCCGCAATGTCAAGCATGGTGATGACCCAGTTGCCCTTTTATTCTCTTTCTCGTAGGTGATTCGTTGGCTTTTGCTAAGTTTAAGGGCGAGCGAATAGAGTGCGCTAGATGGCTTTTTGTAAAACGAAACGGTGAGATCGGAGTTGAATTTGGCAGAGAGCGACGACGGGCGAGGGGTTGGCTGCCAGTCTATTTTTTTTTTTTTTTGTTTTGCTCTGGTTCAATATGGCGGGGCAAAAAGATAGTGGGATGTGAGGATAAGAGATATGGGTAGTGCATATAACCGGGCCCTAGATGATTTGTAAGCTGCCGCTCACCTGCAACCTCTGGTCGGCCCCTCGTTCCGAGGGTCCGCCATCTCAACGTTACTGCCCACTTATACCCATGATATTCAGTTGATTTATCAACCAATGAATCTATATTTGATAGATACAAATAGATTATATTGTAAATGAACTATTGCCGTGAATTCCTTGTAAATTTGGTGGCATTAACATAAATGCCTTTGTCTCTGCAATATCTCTTAAGTTCCTTCATAACCTTCTTCCATTTTGGCCGTAACTTCTCCAATGCCTCCTCACTACCAATCTGATGATGAATAGCTGTCATTTTGCGAATATTATCTGCAGAGATGACTCCTCCTTTATGAACTACCCTCCGTGAGCCGTTCAGACGGCGTTTGCGAGCAGCCGAGGCGGCAGTTGTCTGCGAGAGCTCCTCCTGCAAAAGAGCCACTGTATTGGCCATTGCAATACTACCCTTATAAAGCTTCTGTAATCCTTCATATATATAGTCCTCATCATAGTTATCTTCATCTTCCTCTTCCAAAGCCTCGAGTTTGCGTTTATATCGGTTGAATTGGCGTACAGTTGAAGGAGTATACCAAGTATCTGAATCCATGGAATCTGAATTTGAAGATTCTGAAGGAGTAGTCTCGAATTCACGCAATTTATTAAGGACAATTGAAGGATTGAATGGAAGTAGGCCAGTTGCTTCCCATTCCATGTTTGATTGTATGAACTCTGAATGTTGCTTTTCGTATGGAGGTGATAGCATGAAGAAATTCAACCTTTGTGAACTTCTCACAGCCGCGTCTTGTTGCTTCTTCAACTGCCACTGAATGATGATGCTTAAAGGCTTGAAAAACACCAACATCCAGAGGTTGTAATAGGTGACTCGTATGCGGGATGAGATAGAAGGGAATGATGTTGTTCTTTTCACAAAAATCCATGAATTCAAAGGTGCAATGGGAGTCAAATCCATCTAATAGAAGCAGACGGTGGGTTCCTTTGGTGCGAGCTTTTGTAGACCGATGGAAATGCTGAATCCACTGAAAAGAGATTTGATCATTATTATACCCAGTGTCGGATGTAGCTATCATGGCATCCTTCTCTATTTCATCTGTCCACCGCTCCTGTAGCTGCTTCGCGGTGAGAATATATAAGGGAGGAATGGTAAAGCCATCAGTTGCAACTCCTTCAATGATAGTAAGACTTTCTCTATTATTTGAACTTCCAACATAGGCCCGTCTTCGAGGATCTCGCGTTACAATCCATTGATCATGTCCAATTTCCTATTCTGAACCCTGTTTCATCGAAGTTGTAGATATCGCAATCTTGAATTTCCATATTTATTGACTGTTTCTTTGAACCGGTTAAACCAATCAAGGATATGAGATGGGTTGATGAGCCTGTTTCCGTAATATATCAATGATCTTCTGCTTGCGTACATTATACTCTGGATGGCGTTTGAGAAATCTTTTGACCCAGTGCTCTCCAAGCCCAGGTGCAGGTGTGGTAGACTCTGTATGGCTCTGCGCAAGTAGGAATCGAGCAGCACCAAAGATCATCGATCGATTGGGAGCTAGGCATAGCTTATCTAGAGCTTCTATATACTGACAAAGTGATTTTTCCTGCTCAAAAGATAAAAGTCGATTAGCAGGAGGTCGATGAGTTCGCGGAGCACGGCCATTGTATCGATTGAGCAGACGGGAATAGGGAAGGTTATAATCTCTTGCCAATGCTTTGATATTGGGTTTTTCAATATCGGCTATGGAATCTAGAGCCTCTGTGATCTTATTCTCTATTAAAATATATGTAGAAGTCATCACATTGGTTGATTATTGCATTTTGAAAAAAGAGATTCGCGTATTTGAAAATAATCGCGTTGAGATGGCGGATAACGTTGAGATGGCGGACCCTCGGAACGAGGGGCCGACCAGACGGTTGCAGGTGAGCGGCAGCTTACAAATCATCTAGGGCCCGGTTATAATAAATCGATGCTACTCCATGCCACAATCTGGGTGTAAAGCTAATTGAGTTTAGCTGCTGAAGGAAAAAGCAAAGAAGGTAAGGAGACGCGTTCGAGTCTCGAGTCTTAAGGAACAAACTCTAGAATTTGGATGTCCAGACCTAACTTGCTCGCGAGGCGGTTGTTGTTCTGGTTATCCATATTTACAACGGCAATTACTACGATTATCATTATTATCACCATCAAGTTGCCAACCCCAATAACCTCTCAAAGTCCTGCTGCCCACACGGTTTTGAAGAGACATGCTTTGGCAAGCAAACAAAGACAACGGTTGAAAATGAAATAAGCGGTCAAACGTCATCACAACCGTTCTATGAACAGTCTGTCTATGTGTGCCGCCATACTCCAAAGAGAGAAGAGAGAGTACGAAACATTGGGTAAAAGAGCTAATACGAATGATAATCATAACGGTGATAATAATAATAATAATAATAATAATAATAATAATAATAATAATAAGAGGCGGCGGAATTAGAAAGTTGCACTAAAGATGTAGGACCGCCAAAAGGAGACAAACAAAAAAAAAAGTAACCCCAGCTGAAGCCACACAGAGCGCTGTAAATGTGACGGTGTGCCTCTATTGACTGCCAAATATACGCATCACAGTAACCCATAAACCCGAAACAGGAACAAGTGGGAAAGAAATGACAGAAATCGAGAGAATAAAATCCGTCCCTACCCGGCAGGAAAAAAAACCAACGAACTGACAGGGACTGTGACAAGACAAATGGATAATATTTCCAGAATGCCACATCAGTAGAAAAAAAACGTTTCTGGAGACCACTGGTATCGCCCTCTCCCCAAGGCTTATAAACTTGCTTAAAAAGAAACCCGATCAAACCCATCTACCCAACCACGGTAAACACGCGTATATGCTGGGCTAACACCATCAAAAACATATCAAAAGTATAAAAAGAAAAGTAAAAGGTAGATTTAAAGAGGAAAGTATTATCTCATGGCGAAGTACATTTCGGGGTGAGTATCGTATGTCGCCGTATGTCGTGTATCGTGCGTCGTGTGTCGTGCGTCGTGTGTCGTGCGCCGTGTGCCATACACAGTGCGGCGTTTTACATAACGATGCATTTACTACCGCTAGAAGGCTGAGTCGGGTTCTGCGATTTCTCAACTTCCGCGATGATCAGGTCGAAGGCTTTGGCGACATTCTCGTCCAGTCGGGCACTTGCTTCGGTCCAGGCACAATTGAATTCCTCCCCGAGTTTCTTCCCTTCTTCCTCCGTCACTTGTCGTACGTCTGGTTTGAGGTCGCTTTTGTTTCCAACTACCACTAGGGCCACCCAATCCGCTCCCTGTCAATGAAAAGCCAAGAAATGGTGGCAGCAGTCAGCGGAGTCCCACAGAACAAAGGAGAGACGGGGTTGCGGGGTGGACACTGTTTGCTCAAGTGTGCGGATAGAGATACGCGCTCACCAGGTGGTTGAGAATCTTATCTCGAATAACTCTAACCATGTCGAAGGACTGGCGCGATGCGACCGAGTAAACGATGATGTAGCCATGAATTCCGATGAAATGCTTCGAGTTCAGGATGCTGTATTCATCCTGGCCAGCCGTGTCCACGATCTCCGTAGCAAAGTCCTGGCCTTTGTACTTGATGGTGCTGCTGAATGTATTCTCGATCGTAGGGTAGTAGCTCTCCACAAAGACCCCGTCGACAAAGCGGACAGTAAGGGATGATTTGCCTGTGGGTAGAGGAGATCCATGAAAGTTAACGCATTTGCAAAGGGGAAACGCTATTGGGGGGAGCTCAGATGGCAATCCTTGAGACATACCCACAGATCTGCTACCAACAACCGCAATCTTCCGTTGCTTTGGGGGTGGTGCCATATTTCAATCCGAATTTATTTTCAGGACGGGGGAGAGGTTGTTGAAATGGGTTTCCTTGAGCACAGGGCACGGGAAGGATACGGATACGGATATGGGAGATTGGATATTGGATGGGATAAGTCGGGCCAAAGGATGAGAGAATTGAACGGGAAGAAGCGAGATTTATTGGGAGTTATTGAGAGTTATTGCAGGTTTAGTTTGGCTAACTAGCTAGTTCACTAAGGAGATGGTGGCGCGTGGTTTTACCGGTGCAGAGACGGATGCAGGCAATGTGTCCATAGCCTGTGTGAACAGCACAAGAGAGACCATTGAGACGTGAGAAGAAAGACCACTCGGAATCCACCACCACTCGTAGTAGCTGCAGCAGTAGTAGCAGCAGCAGCAGTAGTAGTAGTAGTAGTAGTAGTAGTAGTAGTAGTAGTAGTAGTAGTAGTAGTAGTAGTAGTAGTAGTAGTAGTAGTAGTAGAAGGCATAGGTTCCACTCCCCGCTACATAACAACACAGTCAGCCCCAGTCCGTCCACGCTGGGCTGTACGCATAGAACCATATGCTGGGGAAATGACCTCCATAGGCCTCCCTGCAACAGCTGGCCGACCGTCGCCTCCCGGCTCTGCTGACTAGCATCCTCCTGCCTTACATCCTGTCTTACATTCCTGCCTTAGCCGGTGACGCCACCCACAATGCAGCCGGGGTTCCTAGCCAATCACAGCTGTTTCCGCCCTTTGTTTGGCCCCGGTGCCGCCTGGCTGGGCACCACGTGAAACTGTTTGCCGCTTTTGTCGATCGACCGGCGGTTCCAGGCCTTCCAAGGTGCCTCATCATCCATTGTTGTTGCGGAGAAACAATTCAGATAAGTAACTAGTCTCAATTTCATCTTCAATAATAATAACCCACGATAGAAATCTATTGACACTGCTATTCATAGATCGTGACTCCATCATCATCATCAACAACAACAACAACAACAGAAAGCACATCGACATCATTGATCCCTTGAATACTACGCAATACTAGACAACCTGTGGCCGTGCTGGTGTGCTTGGTGAGGTGGAAAGACCGCCGTCTCTCAACAGATCCCTTCCGCTTGCTTGATCCGGTCTACGATACTCTGAAGCCTGCACGTGAAGCCGGTCACCGGTTCATGCTCGCCTTGCCCGTCCTGCAGCTCCTTCTCAACCTTCCGGTGGTAGTGCAGAAACTCGTCAACAGTAGCCAGCACGCGGTCAACACTTCTCCCGTCGAGGGAGTTCCTGAGGTGTAATCGCGCCTCGTCGTCGAGGGACACCGTGCTCAGAAGCACAGATAAATAACCAAACGCCACATTGGAGTGTGTCTGCACCACGGAGTCTGCCTGAACGAAAAAAGAATAAGGAGGGCGGGCAAAGAATACGGTCGTTAGCCTTCTGAGAAACTGCGGGTTTTCTTATTTCTTTCCATTTTTTCCCCTCTCCGTCAGAAATTAATCAGATATCAGATATAATCCCTTACCTCGGAAGTTTTATCCCATCCGTCCTTGAATAGCTGTAACAACCTGTTAAGGAACGTTGTCGAGCCACTTGGTGTTTTCAAAATCAATTGTCGTGCAGTCTCGTTCCATTCGGTCAGATTTATCAATGTTCCAAGCGCCAAGATTACCACGTCTAACAAAGAGTCCCTTCTGTCGCTAGCAAAATCCTCCGACACTAGCCCGAAATTCGACATCACGATGGCCATCAGCGCTTGTATCAGTTCTGTTGTCGAAAAATCTTCGCAGAGTGAAGGGTTATTATTGGTAAGATTCAAGATCAGCCGGATTTCTAGTAACTGGATCTGTCTGTAACACGGCTGCGAGCAGCGAGAAGATAGCTGGAACAGGAGCGGTCCAAGTCCGGAAAGCC